TTTATTACTAGTTATTATTAGTATTACAAGGGAAACTAAATTATTCATTCGAATAGATATGTACACGTGTTTTAAAAGAACACGACGATTAAATAAAAAAATAGGATTAGATTAGATAGATATAATATTATATGACCTTAAATTGCTATTTTATATAAAAAAAAAAATTATATTTGTTAAATTATTAATTGAGATGTGTATGGTTTAAATATTTAATAATCATGTAAATTAAAATAGATATATACACTGTAAAATGTAAAATTTAATAAATTTTTTTTATTATAATTTAGGAAATTAGAAAGAACACAGTTATTCTTTATATAGATCTACTCGTACATATTAATTAATAAAAGTAAGTTAACTTTTTTAAACTTCTAATTTATCGATACTCATAACTAACTTGAGTTAAATATTTTCATTAATTTACTTGTCTTTGGGATTTAACATAATTATAATGCGGCAGCAAAATATTTTTTAGAAGAATTAACGTGAGTATAATATAATATCAAAATGTTTTTAGGATAATTTACAAAATATTAGGGGAGTTTCATGTACCCAAATAAACACTATCGTCTTAGTTTTATGCGTAAATTATAAATAATGTATAATCTATATTATATTAAACATGAAAATACGAGATATTTATCATAAAATGGTTTTGCGGCTTGCTCAGATTTCAGGTAAACTAACTTTACCATTAGTTTTAAAAACTAACGGCTACAATACATTTTTTGGTATAAAATATTCGATATTTATGTTGGAAATTTTAATTTTACATTGAATTCAAACTAATGTATAAATTTAATATCTTAAATCATTTCATCTTTATCGAATAAAAAAAAATATATTAATAAAATAATAAATATTACTTTAAAACTATTACAAAGCTCAGCTCTTGATATTCTATTTCAACCTTCAATATTATATAAAAAATGTGTCTTAGACAAGAAAAATTTCCTGCCCTATAATATTTCTCAGGCCGTCTTTGTATGGCAAAACCAGCTTAATTTTTATAAATTTAGGTGCTTCCTGGTTTTGTTGTCAAGGAGTTATGTTTAAATGTAAAATTCGACATCGCCTGTTGATAATACGTACTACAAAACTGAAAAATTGAAAAAATTTGTAGCTTTGTTCGTCAATTATTTTTATTAATAAAAATATACCAGAATAATGGAGTTCAAAATTCGAATTTCATACATAACCTCAATATTCTCAAAACAGTTGACACACTCGGTCGAAGAAACCTACCTATTATATAATATAGATTTGTACGATTTGATCGCTACGATAAGCATGGGCGCCCATAGGTAATATTTTAGGGGGAGGTCAAAATAAAAAAATTTTCGAATGTAAGATAATAGTTGGTAAAAAAAACGAGAGCTGAACATTAACGGTATAGTATATAATATAATACGATGTTAAATAATATTTAATAGGTACCTGATACTCATGTAGATATAAATTATAATTATTTTTTCTCGATGCTAAGTTGCCTTATGAACTGTTTTTATATGATTTCAAAATATACTATTTTTTCGTTAAGTTTGTCGATAATATTATTATGGTCGTTTTTCTGTGGGTTTAGGCATTGATTAATTCATAACATTTCTAGGCTATTTTTTGATTGTGATAAAAAAAAATATAGAGATAATAACAATCATTTTTTTATAAAACTGGAAAAATCACTGCAGAATGAAGGAAATTCAAAATTTTACTTATGGTTGGATAGACGACCTACCGGAATACCAGGATTTTTCTGATTGGCCGCTGTCTGTATTTACAATATGTATTTTAGACAATGAGACCCTTTATTATCATTTGGAAATTGAATATGAATGAATAGTCGTCATTTTTATATTGATCGAACGAATTATATAAACTAAAGTATATTGTGTAACTACTAAAATTAGGTTAAGTTAGGTACTATATAAAATATAGATTAAATCCAGTGCTATATACTTAGTTCCCTCAAAGCGATATTAGCACAGATTATAATAAAAAAATAATTATATTTCATACAATCTGTAGTAGTAGATAACTGAAACAAAAACAAAATATTTCTTATCGGTCCGTTGCCATCACCGCGACTTTATCAATAAGAATAGCGATGACCGGTTAACACGGTTGCGAATGATGATATGCATTATTTGTAATACTATTTTTTAGAATAATCCTAATATTTTATTAATATTAATTATTTACAAGAGTTTTATGTAAATTAACAATAATTATCAATCAACTTCTATTTTATCAGTTGCACTCGCCTACAATAAAACAATAATTTTCTAATGAAATAAAATGGTCAACTGAGTTGAGTTACTAACTCAGTTTAACATATGTTTCATGTTTAAATTTATATTACTTAAAAATCCTACCATGTTTAAACCGGTGTTGGCTGTCGACAAGTTTAAACCCTAATGGATTTAAAAGAGTGGTCCTATATATGAAAGTTAAAGAAAAGAATTTGTATAAAATACTACTAAAATAGTATTTAAAAGTTTAATGTATTTATGCGCTACGTGATGTATTGTAATATTCATGATAATATTATATACTTATTATATTCTATATCTATCCAACAAACAATTTATACAAATGTTCATACTTCCATTTTATCAATTTATCAGAATTTATATTAAAATTAATAAAAACTTACTATTACCACTTTTATTTAGGAAACAATTATTCATTTAATTCAATGACTATAGGTACGGTAGTTTATTCAATATTTTATTTTAATACAAGTCGAGATATAATAATTAATACAATACTTATATTTTATATATTGCATCATGGTGCATATTCATTTTTACAATGATTTATATTTTGCATTAAAACAAAAAAATAAAATTTCAAATTTGTTTCAATTTAGTTAACTACAGATATTACATAGATAACATAAGTAAACATACAACAATAACATGTATCTAGACTATAATATTGAGATATAAATTGTTAAGTGAAATTGGTCTTGGTTTTGTAATGATGTTTTTTTGAAGATAGATATAGTACCTATAGAATAGGTATACTACCAGTACCCAATGACACTGTCAGGGCAAAAACTTTGGAGTGGGTGGTAAATGACTTAAATACTTATTATCTAGATATTATGAAAAATAAATGACTTAAAAATTTACTACCTTGCTCTATTTATTTTTTGTATGAAAACTTTAATTTTTTCAATCTAGTTAATTTAACTTTTTTTATTATTTAATGAGTAAATAATACTGACTATGTAATAACATGTAATAAATGTAACTGTAATCACAAGAGTTTTAAGAATTAAGATCGATAAACTAATTTACGAAAATCCTACTTTAATAAATAAAATTAACCAATTTACGTGATTAAATAACTATAATTTTAAATATTTTAAATTTTAAATTTTTGAAGGAATTTTTTTAACAAAATTGATTTAGTTTTTATTGCATAACTCAAAAACAAATAACCGTAGATAGATACTTGAATTTTTTATCAAATTTATATATTATGACTATTTTTCATTATTAATGCCATTTAAAAAATATTTTATCTCTTTTTAAACTATTAATATACATCTGAAATTTCGATTTTTTTTTTCTTTGAATAATAATAAAAAAAATTTTACTTAGAATAACTAGTGAAAATCATGGCACTGAAAATTCAACCAAAAAAATAATTTAAATATTAACCCAACAGTTTAAAAATGGATGTAAATCTAAATAATTAAATAAACATAATAATAATAAACTTTTATAATAAATATAATTAAATAACTAAATATTTTTGGGGTGTGAGCCAGTTCATCTTCTCGTGGTGCACCCTGGGTAACTCTAAATGAACTGGGACGCACTTGGGCTACGTCAAAGTAGTGACCTTTTCCTCTTTGGACGCACTCGGGTGAAACCTTATTCCGGACGCATTCGGAACATTAAAAAAAGGACATTTTGGAACGCACTCGGGAGTTGCCCCTTAGAATGTAAGAATGTTTACAAATTTATAATCACAACATTCTTTATAAGCGTTTAAATTATTATTTGAACAAATCTATAAAATCTCAAATATTACAAATTATTATTTTATAATTAGAAAATTTAATACATAAGTAATGTAATAATGTAATTCTTAAAAAAAATTTCAATTTATATTAAAAAAAAATCTACCAAAAAGTTAAATTAATATTTTATGAGAATTCAAAGTTCAAATTTTGTTAAATTTACATTTTTATTCATAAAATAACTATTACTTTTCAAACGATTTGATATTTTGTTATAGTTAAAAAACAAATAACCATAGATTCTTGAAATTTTCACTAAAAATATTTATAATATACGTAATCATTTTTTATATATATAATGATGTGATAAGATTTTCAAAATATTTAAGCTCTATTTGAGTTATTTATAGTTAACTTAAATTTTCAATTTTGTTTTTGTTTTATTTCAACAAATATTGATTAAAATTTTTTGATCAAAAAGCTTGATCCCAAACAAATAATTCTTATAAATATGTAAAAATATTTAAAATTCCTACTTAGGTACAATTTATTTTTAAAGGCATCTTAAGTTCAAATTTTGACGAAATTACATATATTTTAAACTATGAATAACAATATTCATTATTTTGTTATAGCTCAAAAAGATTATTCGTGAAAATAAACACTTACGTAGGTTATTATATTTTATACACACAACGATATTTTCATTTGAAATGTTTTCGACAAAAATTAATTAAATCCTACATTATAACTAATAGTAAAGTTATTTACTTAATAACAATATAAAAAACTGTAACATGAAATATTTTCTACTAGTGATGTAGTAGGGTGAAAGACTATCTCCGTTCAGAATATTTTTTCGTTTACAATGATGTACTATTACTATTAAATTCAAATTAAATACATCTATAACATTGGCTCGTTCAAAATGCTCCAAATCTTACAGCAGATCTATATCCACTTATTCACCCTTTCTTATAATTAGTTTTTCTACTTTCAGTTTAAGAATAAAAAAAGTATCAAAATGTTTCGTTCTATCTACAAGTTACCAATACATTTGAACAACCGATACGTTATGAAAACTTTATCTAGGGGTATAGCTGAAAAGCGTTCGAGTATGGAAAAATATTTCAAAGACAAAAGCTTCATCGTGACTGGAGCAAGTGCAGGTAAATATTAAAATATTATTTAAATTATTAGTTATATTTTTTTATTTTATAATTTATGTTTAGATTCTTTTATTTATGTGAAATATTTCAATTTTATTGAATTATTATATTACTCTATTTATTTTATTTATTTTAATTATCGTATTTTGTTTAGTTTTATTTTGTCATTAAGAACTTAAATTATCAACGTTATATATGTATATTGTATAGTTGTATTTATATTTTTAAATTCGTAGAATTAATCGGGTAACAAATTAATATACAATATACACACTAACGTGATCAGAAATTATAATTCATACGCATATAATGTACCTTATATACCCTTCCTAGTTGGTTTATCAGTCTTATTTAAATTTTTAACACCAAGACATAATAACAATAGTTCAATAGTTTTATTTTGTATTCATAACCGTCAAATCAATTAATACTTTTATTATTCTCATATACTTTTTATAGTAGATACCTAAAGATAGTTTACACTGTAATATTGTCTTCAATTCGATACGTCTAACTTTTTAGTTTCACACGACTGTATTATTATTTAAATTTTTTAACTTAAATTAAATTTGTAGTGATCTATTTATGAATGTAAATAAACTTTTCGTCTTCCCTAAATATTGTAGATCTAAATTTATTCGAAGTTTTTAATGGGTTATGATTAATTAATTTAAATTCATCTACTAGTTTTGATGGATTTTTTACATTATTTTTAAATGAATATTCATTCATTCTACTTAAAGTCATTACTTATTTGTATAATATTTCTTCAAATTTAGGTATATTTCCAGATAAATAAAAATTTTCTTACGTAACTCCAACTTTTAAAAAAGGTGATAAATCTCATTGTTACCAATTATTATCGTCCATTATCTAAAATTTCTATACTTTACAATAGTATTTCCCAATCTATGAGTGGTATGTAAGATTGAGTCGCGAAATATTTTTTATGGGTCACCAGTCGTGACCTATAATTAAAATATACGTGAAAATAATTTTGACAGAAAATTTATAAATTCCTAAATTATGTTTTATTGGATACCTTTTATTGAAAAATTTTTAGTTTACAATTAGATACTCATTTTTAAATACTCAAATTTTATATTATGTATATTAAGTTTTAATTTTCTGATGGATAAATTTATTGTTTGTAACCACAAGCAGTAAATTGATGGGTCGACATTACAAAAAGGTTAGGAAACACTGCTCTACAACAATGGCGTAGTTATGAAGATAGATTCTCCCTCCCCCCTAAAACCTTTTTTTTTATGTTTAATGCATTAACTTATAATCGATATAAGTTTTTAAAATTATCCATATTATGTTATAATCACGGATATAATATAGAGCTATAATGGCATAGTTATATAAGCCCCCACTTTATGTTTATCCAATAAATTGTATATCCCCCTCCCCCAAAACAAAATCACAACTATGCCACTGCTCCACGAATTATTCTCGAAATCAGTTGATAAAATATTCGGCCCTTTGCAAACGTATTCATTCCAATAAACAGTATGAATTTTTAAAAAGACGATCAACAGTTACAAATTCTTGTATTTTCAAGTAGTCTATCATTGCTTTTTTTAATGATAAATCACAGTTTGATATGATATATACAATTTTTAAAAAGGCTTAAGATTATGTAAACAATTTTTTTTTTAATCTCTAAACTAGAATCCTATGATTTTATTGATTATCTTTTATGGTGGATTAACTATTTTTTTAGAAATCGAATTCAAGCTATGAAATATGAAAATCACAAATATTATTAATGTATCCTCGGGCGTTCCACGGAGTGACCATTTGTCACTATTATTAATTTTTATTTTGTGTAAATTATAAAACTTTTAAACTGTTATCCAAAAATTAAATGTTTAAATGTTACTAAAAAACTCCAAAAATTATTTTCATAAGTGGTGTATTGATAATGATATGTTAATGAATGCTAATAAATGTACCTCTATTTCTTTTATTTAAAGAAAAATACATTACTCTTTAACTATTGCCATTTGCCTTGATGATATAAACCTACCTCATAAAAATATAATTGATGAATAAGATTCTTTTAAATATCATGTTCATTGCTAAACAAATAAATCGTGTAAGAAATTAAGTTAAATAAAACGAATGTGTACGAGTTTTAATAACGAATTAACCTTAAAAGTTTTGAATTATTCTTTAGTATCATCCAAATTTAAATATGCCTCTTTAGTTTTGTATTCGAATAATATTTACCAATATCATTGTTTAAATTCTGTTCAAAATAATTTTTTTTTAAATATTTAAGCTACAAATGTAGAGTTCAAAAACTTTCTTATTCAGGGTTAGGTAATAATTTAAACTACTCAATAATCACATCGATTACCCAAAACTAATAGAGCATTTAAATTTTAAAATTAACTAATTTATGTCTAGAAATAAATCCTCATTTTATTCTTTATTTGGCTCCAGTACTTACAAAATGCACTATCCTGCAAATAAACTTATGTTGGTTGGTGGTTTTATGTATAACACTGATTTATTTACTATAATATTTTTATATATTTACTATAATACATTACTTAAGGAGTTAAATAAATTATAATTTACTAATTAAATATATTCACTTACTTTTGTAATTTGTATATTTCTATAATATTATTTATTATTACATACAGTTTTTAGTTAAAAGTTAAAGTATTTTAAATGTAATGATTATTTATATTATTATTTTATTGTGTCTCTTTCATTATCTACTATTTTTCCACTAGAAATGAAAAATAAATATAATATCTATGGACTTATACCTATACTAAATTATTCTTTAATATTTATAAGTATGGGAAAAGTGATAACTGGAAGATTATTAGGTTTGGACGCGCACGTATTTGCAGTCGGGAAAGATATAGAAAGTCTACCGACTAATCAAAAAATGACCAAAATAAGCGTGGACCTTAGTGATTGGGATTTAACGTATTGCAAAATCTTAGAAATTGGGCCTGTCCACGGTTTAGTTAACAACGCCGAAGTGGCACATATTGAACCTTTTTTGGAAACAACACAACACGGATGGGATGAGTACGGATACAGATTAACTTTTTATTGGCGGGGAAAGGGATTTAGGACTTTAGGAACTGTCGTAAGCGGCACATCCCAATAAGAAAAAAGTTAAGCTTACATTTTTTTTCTCAAAATTAGTATCCAAAATTGCAAAAATTTATAAATTAGTAATTACCATCTCTTTTTACCATGAAAGTTAATCATTTTAACACACATCAGCTCCAAAAGCAAATTAAATTTAAACATCTTTACCGTAAATAAGTATTGAACAATTGAGCTTTCTGTTTATAAAATTAATTTTTTTTTTTGCGATAGTTATGTTTTACGGTATTTGAATATTCTCCATGAATCAACTTTTTTTAGGTACTTTCTCATAAATTCCATTATTATTTAATATTTATTATTAAAACGTTTAAAACCCATTAGTTAGTATATACGTAAACTATCTTAAAATTAAAAAATATTAGTCAGATTAAAATTTCTGGTATAATAGTTATTATTATTTACTTAATTTTGTATCTGTAATATTTATGTTGGTAGTTTTTACATTTTTTAAGAAGTTCGATTTGAATTATATTTGTATATTTAATGCACACACCTCACGTATATCAAGTTACTCGTATACAAAAAATTAGTGAAACCAATCTGTACATACAGCATTCAGCTATGGGAAAATGCAAAAAATTCAAACTTAAATAAAATCCATTCCTTCCAAAACATTTCCCTTAGAAAGTTGATAAATACTCCCTTATACATATTAAATCATACTCTCCGCAGACCTAAAATTAAAAACAATTCACGAAGTAGCCAAACAATTCTATAAAAGATTCCATGACAGCTTTTTCTCTCACTCAAACTCTTTAATTAAAAACCTTTCCTTCCTCACTATCCCTGGTAGCCCTCTTAGATGCTTAAAAAGTAAATGGTTTAGAGACCTATTAAAATCATAAAAAAAACAAATAAATAAATTTATTTTATAATTTTATTAAATTAACTGTAAAGTTTCTTCGTTTGGCTTCTTTACTCAATATGTGTATTATATCATTTTATATTATTATATTTCTTATATCATATATACTTATTAGTTATATCTACTAATGAAGATTCTATATTTAACTTAAAATTTAAAAAAAAATATTTGGTACATAAATAATGATAAAAAAAAATTAAATATTGATTTTCATATATATTATTTTTTCCAGGGAGGAAATTGTGTTATCTGGTTGGAAAACTCCAATTTCCGGGAAGGGGGGAAATACAAATGAAAACTTTCTATAAATTCATGTTTTTCAAGTCTTTTACTCTTTAATTTATTTTTATTTTAAAAAAAATTATATTTTTAAGTTTATCATCTAAAACTAAATATTTTTTTGAAAATTTAAAAATAATTTAATCTATGGATATTTCATATTACTGAACAAAGCTATAAATAGTTGTTCATCATTACTAAGCCATTAATATTATTTTAATAAGTATTGTAGAATTAAAAAATATCAAGCAAAATGATGAATGTTGTTATATTTTCTCTTTTAACCTATCCTAATTTCCAAAAAAATAAAATAGGTACCTAAGTATTATTAAAACGGATTAAACTAATATTTTATTAAATTTATTTTTTAATTCTTATGTGGCTATGTTTATTAAAATGCGTATTCTTTATAAATTTAAGTGTCATATAATAAGTATAACTACTTATTTATTAATTAATTTTTATAAACATCCAAGCTCTAAAGTAGTTATTTGAGTTATTTATAATTATTTTTCACTTTAAAATGGAAAAAATATAATGTTATTAATACATTTATTAATAAATAACTTAAATGATATTTTTATTTCTAGTACATTAAATGTTAACTCCAGAGGTGTGGTAAGAGCAAGCCAAGCTGCAGCTAAAAATATGATTTCTGAAAAAATCAAAGGATCAATAGTCAATATATCCTCTACTATATCTGAGGTTAATTTTATTTATTGATAATATTTTGTATTGTTTTATGTTTATCATATTTGTATTTGACTTATAATTTAGGAACATTTTTATTTTTAACTTTCTAAACTTCGAATTATTTTAAATTTGCAAAAACCAAATAGGTAGTTCTAAAAACATTTAATTCTTTATAAATTGTTCATAGTAAATAATAATGGGATTATAACTTATAAACGACATTTTTAGAGAACAATACTCGATCATGTATCATATTGTGCAGCTAAAGGAGCTTTGAACCAAATTACAAGAACAATGGCCCTTGAATTAGGACCTCATGGCATAAGAACAAACAACGTTAATCCCACTGTTGTATTGACTAGGATGGGGAAAATAGCATGGTCAGATCCAAAAAAATCAGGACCAATTATGATTAGAATACCATTAGGAAGATTTGCAGGTAAGTTAAAATCAATGCATCTGAATTGCATGCCAAAAAAAAATAAACATAAATTGGAATGTTTTAATTGCATACCATCTCTTAGAGTAGTCTGTCCGAATACATTACCTATAGGCTATAAGATTTTACTAAATAAAATAATTTAATGTATTTTTCCACTTAAGCTACATTAAAATAAAATATATAATTATTTGAGAAGGTGACACTGTAAATAATAAGAATTAAATATGAACAGTAAATATATCTTTCAAATTTTTATATGATATTTAAAATAAATAATAATATTTAAAAAATGTATTAAATTTGATTGAATATTTTGAAATATGGAACATTGAATATAATAATTTCAATGTACAATATATTATGTTTAATAATAATATTGTATACATTATTTATTCGACGTCATTATTAAAAAGTTTAAAAAAGAATTGTTTTATTTATTTTGTTTTCAGCAAAGCCATACATATATAGTTTTATTAATTTCATCATTAAATGTTGCACACAAGTACATGATAAATAAGCTTGTGGGTACCTACATGATAAGCAATTCGGATAGACCCGTTTATAAGGTGGCATGCAATTTTGACTTTTTTTTTGACATACAATTCGAATACAGCCGTGAAAATATTTACATATTTGTTGAACATTTTGCATTATTATTGTTAAAAACTATACCGTTATTGTATAATGTAGTAAACAGATATATAATAATTAATAATGCACTTTACAGAACCTAATGATATTGCTAATGCAGTGATATTTCTATTGAGCGACTATTCAACAATGATAAATGGCCTGAATTTATACGTGGATGGCGGTTATATGGCTACATAAATATTTTGATATTAATTTTGAAAAAAATAAAATAATTATATAATGTTAAATCCTACAATAAAATCTATTGTAGGCCCATTTAAAATTTAAATAAATAAATTTGAATTGTAATGATATGTACATTTTCTGTTTATTGTTTAATTATTATCCTTATAATGTTTACCTACTTTCTAAGTCTAAAATCTTTTAAGATCATACAACTTTTATCCCAATTATGTTTTAAACAAATATTTAGCAAAGCAAATCACATAATGTTTTGAAAAAAATGCAAATCAACAATCAACAATTTATTTTTATTTTTATTTTTCACAACAAATAATTTATAACATTTTATAGATGTTTGATATGGTTATTGATTTGCTTTAGTAATTTTGTTTGTTTAAAAATTTGAATAAATATATAATTTCAACCCTGAATAAACTATCAAAATATGATTCTTGTTTTATTATATTATAAACAAGAACAACTAAAGGAGCTTAAGTTTAAAAAATATTTTCAAATATTTTAATTAGAAGTATTTACCATTATATATCTATTTAGAATCTGTCGCCTTCTCTTACAAACTATAAAATTATGAATTTTATTTTTAATTCATAAGTACCTAAAAAATATATTATTAAATATATTTTTTACTTGTATTTATTTTTCTATACTTCTTCATTCTAAAAATCTAAAAATATAAATAATGGGTACTAAATAGTTCATACTTTTTGTCTCCGCGATCAGCGTTCATTAGATTATAAAATTATATAAGTTGGGCCTTCACGACATGGAAGTAGGCAATATAATATGATGCACTTCCTTAGTGCCTTCAAATGAAATATGTTAATAATAATAAAAATAGTTAGTGGTAGTTACTTTAATACAGTAATATAAAATTGACATGCTCTTTTGGCTAATAAATAATAAAATTAACTAGGAATATAAATGTCTATATGGCTTGATAAAATATAAATAGATAAAAATAAAACAATTTGAATGCTTGTTTTGGCTTAATAATAATAATAATAAAACAATAATATAATAAAAAAAAAAGGTCTGAATGGCTACTCAATAATTTAGTATAGAAAAATATGATGTATATAAAAAATAATATAATATTTAAAATACATATAATCCGGTTCGTCAGCCGATTACCTGACGAACTGGTGTCCTTTGGCGGCTTCAAACCAGAACGCTACCGTCTCGAGATATCCACAAATTTACAATACAAAAAATACAATAATACATAGTAAAATGTATGAAAATCTTGAGAACGTACGGCCAACGGGCCACCAGCTCAGGCGAACAATCATAAACCAATACAATGAATAACACTTAATAAACAAATCACGTAGTTCTGCGAGTACGTTTATTGACTGCCATGAGTTGGAGAAAAAACTATTATTGACTATACAAATACGAATACAATACTCACAGCAACTAATACATAAAACCAAATTACATTGAAAACTAAACTGAATGAAAAAATGTAGACAAAACAATGGGAATAGCACAACTGAATAATGAGTTTACCTCTGGCTGGGACCGGACCGAGCAGCTGCCAGCTCGAGAGATGACATGAAAGAGTGAAGTAAAATGAATTATAAGGAATGAGCAAAAGAAAACTGTATGAACGGTCTTTCAGTGTCACCACACTAAACAATTAAAATTGGAAAAACTAAGAACTTTGTGACACTGAAAGCATGACTAAACGAAAAGTAACTTTGAAATTTAAACATTAACGAATCTTAGAAAACGTGAACTAATAATGATCACACAGCTGGCCGGTCACACACGAAGACATGATAAGTCTCCGCCGATGAAGGCGGCTGCAACTGTGGAACGCACCATTGCGTACACGTGAAAATGATAACATGGAACAAAATGAAATGTGACAAGTTACAACACATAATAAACTTAACATCAACACTTTTTGCTCATAAATATTTTTCTCATTTACAAATAGCTAAAATAACTGTTTATTATTACTATTAATTAAATCAAAACATACCTATGGCTATGCTTAATCATCATTAATTTTTTTTAATATTTTAGATTCAAGAGAGTACAATAGTTCATAACATTAAACTCATTTAAATATTATACAATCGTATTTTGTAAATTGTATAGAAACCTAATTTCTCGATTTGATGTATTGTATTTCAGGAAATCGTTCATATAATGATATCAGTGATAAAAATAAATTGAATTAAAAAATAATAGGCATTTTACCTTCGGATTAGTATGTTGTACGTCATAGTTCTATTACTAGAATGGTATTTTAATAAATACTGATATGATTTAGTTTATCGAAATAAAAATAAAAATATTTTTATCGGTATTATTTTATTACGTAAAAGTATGAAGTGTTTGAGATGAAGTACTTAATATAGATTATAGACTATACACTTTATTTAGAATAATATAATAATAATATAATTATTGCGTTACTTAATTAATATAGATTTCAAATCTCGCTATCAACTTCGAAACAAGTGTGAAACACATCTAAACCGAGCACCCTAAAATCTTTAAAATTTTAATTGCAACTAGAATTACCATATATTTATAGTACCTACTAAAAATTAACCGCAAACAAACAATTGTTATTTAAATAATAATTTTTCTACCACTCTGTACAACAGTCAGACATTTTAATCTCGATATGAACTCTTGATATTTAATAAAAACTATCCATAAAATAAATACTTAGTAGTTACATACATAATATATAAGGTTATACTTCAAAATTAAACTTTCATTTCGATACCGTCTACTGTCTAGTCAACGTAGTAGGTACATAACTACAAATTCACGTAGTTTAATACATAATTATTTTAATAAATTATTAGTTATTTTACTTTTGTTAAATTCATAATATTATAATTTATAAATACAATATAATTTAGGTTTTATACTATTAAATAAATATAACACCTATAAGTACACCTATACTAAGAATATTCAATATTCGCAAAGACAAAAATTATCAAAAATTGAATTTATTGTTATAAATTAAATCAAAATGAGTCGTATGAAAACGTTGTGTGCTATGGAATCATTGGTAGAAGGTGTTCCACAAATTAATTTCATTATCTGCCCAGCTGTGATTGATGACTGCGATCAAATCTATGAATTAGTTCAAGTAAGTTAGTTTAGTTATTATTATACATTTTATAAATAATACTATAATTTAATTTAATAAAAATTATACGTCTCATATAGTTATACCTTTGTATAAAATACAACGATTTAAAATATTTAATCATGACAAGGTGTTAATTAATAAAAAATTATTTTTTATTTTATTTTTTAAGTAGGTAAATGCCCAATTATCTCATTTTTAATCTTATTTGATTCAAAACTTGAATTTCCAGCTATATTTTATATTTCATTCTCGTGAAACTACTAAACAATATTATATAAGTTGACTTACATTTTAAAATAAACATAATTTTTTCAACTTTGAAATAAATTATATAGTTCTATATTATTTTATTGTTTGAATCGTAATAATTAATAATCGATATTTTTAAGAGTCTATCTTTTTTTAATTTTTATTAATAATCAAACAATAACAGACAATAACCCACTAAAAAAAATCCATTTTAAATATAAATAATTGAAATATATATATATTTAATTTATTGCTTTAAAAATTAGTAATTGATCAGTTTGTATTTTTGTAAGACCGAATATGCTAAATAGTGAATACTAAATTATAACTAGTGATCTTGATGATATACAGAGTTATAAAGAATACTTTTAAAAAATATTTGATTAAATAAATAAAATATCATTAAAAAATGTATTTAAAATAATAATTAAATACATCGTTTTCAAATAAATTTAAAAAAAAAATCAAGTACTTAAAAATAATTGTTTTTTCTTGATATCATTTCAATATTTTCTATAAAAATAGCAAGTTTAATTAAAATAATAAAAATTTATAAGACAGAAATATAAAACATAAAGGCGTTTAGGATACACTAGTATTTAATACCATTTAAAAGTATTAAAAAATTACTTAATAGAAAAAGAAAAAATTATTTTAATAAAGTATTCAAGACTCAAAAAAGTATTTTAGTACCAATATTTAAATACTTTTATTCAAATACTTAACACCTCTGACAGTATATAACTATAGCTTGCGTAACGTCCCGAATGGAAATAATATTTGTTTGGTTCAATTCTATGACGAACATGATTATTAATTACTCGCAATGAACATTTTTACCATGTAAAATTAATAAAACTATAAACATAGAAAGGGTACATTAACTTCACGAAACGCTTTGAAGTTTGATATACATTTTTAGTGATAAAATTTAAAATGCAAGTGAAAGCCACCTCAAATGTCTTCTCATCTTACCAGTCGCATCTGTCCGTGATATATATATTTGAGGTTTCAATTTAATGTTACTTATACCTATTTTCTCAAAAAGAAATATTATTTTCATATAACATTAATTATAAAATCATCAAATTGGTAGTTAAAACAACATTTTAGAAAAAACTACATTGTTATTTGTTACAGTAGTTATAAGTTTTTACTTTTTTGAATAACGACATACATTTTTAATTTCATATTTTAAATCAAACTGTTTTATCAAGAATTTCAATTTATAAAAGTCGTAATCGGATTTAGAACAGATAGGTAGTTAATTAATTAAATGTATAATATATATATATAACCGATATTCGGCATGGCTAGTATTATTATAATAATATACAGTTAAATATATAATATAGATATAACTTAAATACTAATCTGTAGGTATTATTCTGTTATGCGCTACTATACAATCTTTGAACAAAGATAACCAAAAGCCGCCGAACTATATTAATACATCTAAGAGAATCGAACTTGGTCCCGCAGGGGTTATTAGGCCAATAAACCGGATTCGAATTATTGGCATTTGACACGATGCACGTGTACAGTGTGATATCTGTAGCAGCTCACGTGAAAAACCTATTGTACTAGTAGGCTTTTATATAATAGATTAATAATAAATAAACGTGGACACCCATAATGTACGAAATAAATAATTGCATAACGCCTATACATTTAAATAGAATATAGTGATTGTGAGTGCACGACTACAACACGTGTTGCCTATAATTACAAGCTTATCGACTACGACGGTCAAACATAAAACGATGAACACTCGTAGAAATAACAGTAATAAAATAACCGCCAGGTCTGAAAGTCTGACATAAAAATAATAAACACCCGTTGGCCGTTAAATGATTGTTATTGAGGGGACGGTGTGTTTTCTCTGTTCTAGTACCTAACGCATAATTTTATAACTTATAATATATCCCAAAATGTACATCAAGCGGTCCCATTAGTCTGATATTGACCTATTATTGATTTAAAAATATTAGAGTAAGTCGATTTATTATAATACTTGAATTAAGAACACTATCTGTGTCCTATCATTGGTTATAAGTTTTTAATCATAAATTTAAATACCTTATATTATAGTTATATCTCATCGCCGTGTTCTTATATTAGGTATATATTATTAACAAAGTATGTCAAAAACAAAATTATCAGTTACTAAAGTAGAAAAAAGAAAATAATTAAACATACGTGATCATTATTTGTTAATGGAATTATAATTTATTATTTAAAATACTTTTTTTAATTTTTTAATTAGTTGTGAATATGTAAAATTATTTTTTTATTAAAAAATAAAAAGGTCATAACTACCTTGAAAATTAAAACAATATTTTTAACTTTAAGCTTAATAATAGGTCAATAATTTACTTTAATATTATTACAAACAACACAAAACTAGTCCGGCTGAACACACATTTTCTATGTTGTATTGTTGTCTATATGTGTAAAATTGAAACACCACGTGTAGGTGTTCTTAACCCACGTATTACAATTGTAACTAAAATTTGTAAGACATTAAAGATTTTAGGTTTGGTAAAGCGGCTTTCCAGAGAATTACAATTTAAAATGTCTATTGAAGCACATTAAATTGTATATTAATTCGTTTAATTTTAGATTATGAGTGGAGCGTGCGATGATTTTACTGATTTTACAATAAAATGTGTTTAATTTTTTTCTGTTTGTTATCACCTTTTGGGGCATTAAAAATGTTATGATTTTCAAAAATGGAAGTGATTTTTGGTAGCAAAGTAGATCTAGTAGGTATTTTGGGTAAAAAGCAAAATTCATAAAAGTAAATTTTATAATCGGAAAGACAAAAAAAAAAATAAAGGAAAACAAGAATTTTTCAGAAAATCCAATTTTCGAAAAAATTTATTTTGTTTTTTGGTCCAACTCAAAAACGAATAACCGTAGTCCGTAGATACTTAAAAAAGATACCAAATATTTAAATTATTATTTCCTGTTTATGATAAAATATTCAAAAAATGTCTACTATTTTCAAGTTATTTATAGGCATGAGTGACTTTCAATTTTTTTTTCTATAAATGTCAATAAAAAATGATTTGCTGGATAAAAATGCTTGAAAATTTAATAAAAAGCACTCATACGTTGTTAACTTTACAATTAATAAATATCAAAAACCTAAGATCACAATGTTTTTATAAGTTTTAAAAGTTAGAATTTTGACAAAATTCTTAAAAAAAACTCAAAAATGCACTTTTTATTTTATAGTTAGAAATTAATAAAAGTTTTTTTTTATAGCTATAATTTGAAAATTTAATACAAGATTCTTTTTAAATTGTTTAATCTCTATACTAAAAAAAATTTACCGAAAAGTCGAATTAATTTTTTATATATAAGCATTTTACATTGAATCTCCACAAACAGTTTGTGATAGTTTATTATATTTCAAAAAAAATAACATTATATTCTTGAAACTTTTATAAATGTTTATATTATCATTTTTATTTACGTTAAATTTTCAAAAATGTTTAAGCTATTTAACTATTTTATAAGCTATTTATATACAGATTAAATTTTAATTCTTTTTAAGATTTCTCATAAGCAGTTCGTACCGAAATCATAAAATTTAAAAATATTTAAAGAAAATCACGAATTTATGGTTTTGTATTAAGAGGTACCTACTGCATATGTTTCCAATACCAATAAAATCCAACAATTCCAGAATATTGTTTTTAGAAAGATCACTAATACCCACCCTTTGAATCTGATTACACTTAACATATAGATTAAAGACCTTTCAATAAAAACAGTAGCAGAAAAAGCTGAACGTTTCATACTCAACTTTTAACTTTCATACTCGTCTCCAAAGTCCAAACACACTAAAATCCACTCATAAAAAAACGTATCCTCCCAAATCTTACCTGGCACCCCCAAGCGTCGCCAAGGGACCTAAAACAGGACTTGTCAAAAAACTAACTAAGGAAAATAAAATATGCATATGTATATTATATAATATATAAATTAAACACATAACAAAACTATTCCCAGCCAAGTGTCACTAATGGATTACTTCTCCAAATATGCTTTAAATTTTTGTTCTGTCATCACTTATACTTATTGTGCTAATTAGTACAAGTTGTGCATATTATAATACAAATAAACACAAAACCATATATTTCTTTTTTTTATTTATTCTTAATTATTATTTCAACCCACTTAGTATATTTATAATATTACTAAACAATATTTAGAAAGTAACCTAATAATCGTCGTTTTTGAAATATTAGCTATTAAAAAAGTTAGTAATTTAAAGCTATAAAAAATATAAGGTTTTTACATCTTTATAACAATATGTACATTTAGGCTATTACAAAACCCAAATAATTTTTTTACTTTTCTGTCGTTATCATTATGACATTATAAAAATACAAATACATGCAAGATTGAAACGATCGGTATTAGTCAAAATCACTATAATTAGAGTATTAGATACCAGAGTATGCAAATAATATTTTATTATTAACTATTTAAATCACAAATTCACGAAAGTATTAAAATATAATACTATAATCTATAATATAATGTATAAGTACACTGATAATAACCGAAGACTTTATACAACAATAACTCGTTGATTGTGTTTATCCATGTGTACCTATTTATATTTTATAGTTATAATAATTATTATATTAAATGTTATAACTAATAATCTAGTGTAATAGTATTACTGCTGCGCTATTTGCAAATACAATTTTTAATCTCTAAATACGAATTTTTACAATAATAGCACGTACAACACTAATTTTAAGTGGTTTATTATGTTATATTATTCAATTGAGCTATTGAGTAGTATGCACATAAACGTAAAAAACAAAAAATATTATTATTTGCTATCTAATCGCTGTTACAAGTTTCTTAGAATATGAGAGTGGTTCTGTGTAATTTTGCACAAACCGATCGACAAAATTATATTTACTTAAATAATAATAATTTAATAAATCAACGACTTTTCATTAACATATAATAATTAAATATAATGTATTCAATATTGCATATATTTGAATTATCTTGATTTTTAAAAAACTGTAACTAATCAGCTGATTATTTTGCTTATTTTAGGAATACTACTCCGAGTATAGTATACCAAGCAGCAGACAATTGAACAAAGACAGTGAGTAATATTTTAATTACTACTAAAACGCGTAGTAGGCATCACGGCATTAGATAGAATGGTTACGTAACGAAAGGAGGACAATTGATTACTGGATGTTCTCAACAATAGGAGTGTTTAGAATAATTATGTTGCAAATCCTATCCATGAATAATTTTTTGAGAAATTTCTAGTCCAAAAATTTCTATCATACTAAAAAAAAAATACCTTAAAAATTAATCTTGAGTCAGTTTAAATTCGCAAGGGTAATCATTGTTACGAGCCTACACATGATTTCTGTTGAATATTACAATACCATTGTTCAGCGACATACTGGCACCGAGTCTTTAATAAGTAATAATTTAATGAAAGTGTAAATGAAAGAAATAAAATAATAAAGATTACTTTGCCCTCCAATACTAAATGATGAATTCTAATCCATTTTTCTAAACTTTTATATGAATAAATACTCTTAGTAGGTACAAAAAAACTATTTTTAATCCTTACAAAATGAAAAAAACAAATAATAATGATGTATTTATATTAATGCGTTATAATATTATATGCAATGATGAATGAAAATATTGAAAACATTTTAATGCTCATTATTTATTAATAACTACATCTGTCACAAAAAAAAAGTGCTAAATCCTAATTAATAATAACGTATTATATTGCCAATATTGTAATATTACCTATGTGTTTATAGCTTTCAGAAGGGACGGATTTGAATCTCAAAACCCTAGTTTCCAGTGTTTTATAGCAAAAACTAGAAAAGAAGGTAATTATTTTTAATTTAAATTTAATTTTAATATTTAACATACAATTGATGTCTTGTATCAAATCTATAAGCGAACAATAAACATTTCGAAAGATAAGTCGAAACAATTATAATGATAATATAGTTATGTTGTAGATTAAACTAGAGTTATAATTACAATTTTGGAGGATTAAGCCCTCAATAAAACTGTAAAATTAAAATAACCAAATAAAATGCTTACCAAAACCATCGTCATACAATGAATTATACATTTTAAATTTTGATTGAAATGAAATACGTATCGATTTTACAAAAATAATTGTGCTTTTTTATCACGAGCCAAGTAATAACTTAAAATATAGAAATGGCCTATCAAAATTATACACACCCACTATTATTATTATCTTAGCTGTTTTTTTTATAAATTACTTATCTAAATAACAAAACTAAAAAACTATTCATAATCTACTATTTTCAGCTTACTATAGCTTACTTCTTAAGGATACCACTATGATAGGTGTATAACATATTTTGCGTACTTAAACCAAATTTTCTGGTCATACCATGGCTTTATAGTAACATTTGTCCTACACCAATCTTTATAAAGCTCTTTTAATTTCTTATCCTATCCTTCCTAATTATTCTACATATTCACTTACTATTCTTATCTTGCTGCACTCACGCTCTGTTTTGTTATACTATCTACTGCCCAACATTCCAATCCTTACACACGAATACTTTACAAAATCTATAATTTAATGTCAACGGCATCCTATTAAGAATTGTTATTTCATTCGCTCACACATGACCATGAGTGTCTAATCACAATAAACATTAATACAATATGGAATTGTACACATTACTTAATTTATGCTTTATTTGCGTGTGTGTTTATGTAGAAGATATTATCATCGGATTTGTACTGTGGTTTCGACCGTTTGAGAATACGAATGGCCAACAAGTGTTCCTCGAAGCATTGTACGTGTCTAAACCTTACCGACAAAAATACGTCGAACAAGCACTCTTTGAAAAAACGATTCAAATCTATTGAGTGGAGGTGAACTAGATGTCAATCGCCCTGCCGCCGCTGTGTCGTAACTAAACTGACTATCCATCGATGCGCCCAATGCATAATGTTATACCTATCAATAGCAATAATAATAAAAATAATATTATTATCATCGTTGTATAATTATATGCTGTGAAAATCCGCTGCGTTATCGAGAAAACGGCAAATTTTGAAAACTACTAACTGAAGAAAACAAAAACAATAATTTATAATATAATATTATATTCATATGTTTATAATATTTGTTGCGGATGTCCGTCACGAAAATGGAACCATAACGGATTACCCGGTGACCGAAAGCGGAAATGAGTGCCCCCTTATGGGGCTCGTAGAGATGATCCAGTCTGGTCTCTTGTTACACGCCACCTCAAACAAAAAACACCATACCACGTCGAATTAATATTATCTATTTATCTATACTATAACTATCATCACAACAATGACATTTTATTCTTTGGGGTTTTTGAGGATTGCGACAAGGTGCTGTACTATGAAATTATATAATTTGCCCTTGCCAAGAGTACGTTGAAATCCAACTATCAGACAACATTTTTTTAATGGATATTTCTAACAATTCAGCTACATTCACCTTTGATGAAATGAAAAAATCTATTTTATAAAGGACCCACCTTAAAAAAGGGGCGTGGTTTTCTTTATATGTTTAATAAACAATAACAATTTATTTTATTTATTATTTATTGAAGTCTCTCTACACACGTTGTACACGGTCACCGCAACATATTTTATTATCACATCGATGGACTACGTCGGACGTTGTCGACTTACAAATCTCATATTTTTAATTATTGTTATTATATATTGTGTTATTGATTTAAATCATAACGTGCAATATAAATATATGGATGAAATCGAATTATTTCAATAGATTATCCTTTTTTTATGTGTATATTTTTCTATAATTGACACAGCTGAAGGAAAATACTTGCTGATGAACTTATTATTTAGATTTTTTTTCTTTCAATGGGAACGTAATTTACTTCTGATGAATTTGTCAATTATAAATCATTTGAATGCTGCTTCCAACTATGCAGCTGTTAAATTATTATTTAAACCTTTTAAACGTATTTAAGAAAATTTCTAAATAATATTGTGAAAATGTATACGTCAAGAACTTCATAATTTATTGTTATAAAAATATCTTAAATTAGAATTGAAACCAAAAAAAAAAAATTTAATCGTAGAAAACCAGTTTTTTTGGAAAATATTATTAAAATCATTGAATTTAATAATTTTGTTTCACGTCAGATATTGGTTATACTTAAAGTTCTGTATTGACTTAAGAAAAAATTCTTTTATATTAATTGCATTATTTAGGCTAGTAAATTTTTAAATTTAACTTATCAATAATATGATTAATTTATAATAAATTTATAAAATTATTGATAATTCAAAGCCATTGAATTCATTTAAATTTAATTTATTTTTGGTAAAATTTAAATCCATAGCAACCATATGTATAAATAAATTTCTTTAGCTTTTGGCAGAGCGTCATTTTCACCAGTTTCTGTTCTATAATCTACATAAGTCGAAAGCAATTATAATGTATTTTTTCCTTGATATACATCTCATTCATTAAAAGTCGACAAACTAGTTTAATTTTTATTTCCATTCCTTTTTTGCACATATTGACTGAACTACAAACCTAAACCACTTCTGAGGACTGTCAATCCAATACTTATTTCGATTGTTATCAACGTAGAGTACCTAACATGACTTTCAATTGACGGTAATCCGTGACGTTACATCTGTTTTATATATGAAGAAATAACTAGGTAAAGTTTGCAAACATTTTTTTATATTGAAAAGAATAATGTTAGACTGGTTAGAGCCAAACTTAGTTTTAATGTAATAGTGGTACAATGTTTTTACACATACATCTTTAATTTCAATATAAAACAATATAGAAATTATCAGTGTTGAGACTTATCTAGGAAAAAATTACTCATCTATTATCTTATCTAATTATTGCGCTATTTATCAATCGATTATTTTAGATGACATATTTCTCCATTTATCTAGATAAATTTATTAAAACCGTATACATTTTTCATGAATAATATTCATTTTTTTACTAAAATTTTCAAATCATAACACCATCCAATCAATACTATACTCATAACATTGCCATATCACTATGTTCTATTATCAAATTTTATAAGGTTTATACTTAGAGACGTTATTTTACGAAAAATTTTGACAAAATGAATTAGTATATAAATAATATTAATGTATAAGAAATTTATAGGTAATAATTTATTATTCAAAATGAAAGTTTACCTAAATGGGTGTTAACCTAAGTGAATTACATACTAAATGATTAATTGGCAATTGCCAAATTTAAATATATTTTATTTTACGCAATTTATCACTGGGTTTCCAACGATACAATTTTAACAATTCACGTAGACTATAAATTTGGAAAAAGTCTAACACTAAAAATAGCTTTCCATACAAAAAGATAATAATAATAATATATTTGGTGAACTATACACAATATTATGTAACAGAGTACTTTGTTTTTTTTTTTTTTTTTTCATAAAGATATAATATGTTTTTTTTCTTTTGATTTTTTTCGAAAAAAGATAATAATCATAACAATACAATTATTCTTAATAATATTTTAGCTATTTACATAAGTAACCTTTTTCTAATAAATTTTAAAAACAAAAACTAAGGTAAAATTATATAATTAACTAGCCACAAAAACATTTGGTACTGTATGTGCCAGGCATACATATTAACTATTAGTTACCTACTTTATGTTCACATAAGTAAAGAAGTAAGTACCTATATTTGTTATTTAAATATAATAAAAATAAGTTCAAGAATATTTCTATATAATTGTCACTCAAAATTTATTCTCAAAAATCTGAAAATAATGGATTATTAATCTGTACAGATTCTGATTACTTTATCTTAAATTAATTAACTACAAAATTGCAATTATAATTATTATATTGAAACATTCGTCTTTAAGGGGTTTTGTGTATGCAATTATACTACAAATTTTAAATTTTTTAAATTTTCCTCACTAATCATTATAAACTGCAGTTATAAAAATATAATAAATTTACTATACAATCCAACATTCGATATTTCCCGATAATTCTTTTTGGAATCCGTATTTAAAACCATTAATTACGAAGTTTTTTATTTTTCTCACTTAACATCACTTCCATTTTAACGCACGTGCTTATATTTAAATGAATAAACGAGTGACTAGGTTGTCACAAGACTGACACCGATAATAAACATAATCAATTTAATATTTATTAGATATAAAATTATACATATAAACTTTACCTACCAAATTTCGATATTATAAGTTTATCGAGTAATTTTATTTGAGAACCAATTCAAACAATTGTATCTATACTGTCATACTGGAATGTAATTTTTTCGGAAACCAATTCATACACTTTATCTAACCCATGAACCAATTCCATGTTAACCACAGAATATATTATATCTGTGATATTGACCGATCAGAGCATTATCTTATCGTATAAGTATAATACACAGACTTCTATATATAATATATTATATTAAATAGAAGTCTGTGGTATAATATCGCCATATCGGACTAGTTGTAGGCACTGATGTAATCGTAATTTTTTTAGTGAATATACGCTTAATTGTGCTTGACTACATGTAAACGTAGAGGCTTCGCACCCACACCTCTATATACTAAATTATTATTATTTTTATATTTATAATTACATGGATACATTATGTTACTTTATTACTACCATACCGCAATTAAGTCTCTACAGTCTACAATCATACTCCTAGAAATATATTATGCATTTTAATTTTTTATGATTACCTAGATAATAAATAATTAAGTAATTTTAATCAAATAATGGATTTTTAAGTTTTAATTATACATTAATCTAATACAAAATAAAATATATCTCATACTCTTTGAAATTACTACAGGTATGTTAAGCTATTGTTAAATTTGGAATACACTTAGGCACATAATATGCAAAAATAATTATTATATAAAATAATAAACAAATGAAAATTAAAAAGGCATATAAACATTATAAACAAATAAATAAATTATAAAATTTTCCTCAGACTAGCTTTTTTTTCATTTAATTTTATCCGTGCAACTTTTCGAGATCTGTCAGCATCTTATCAGTTACATATAATACGTTTTTCCACAATGTATATAAATAACTCTATGATCAGTATACCTACGCTGTGCAATAGATATTAATGTCTAATTACAATGTTGTACTGTCGTATATTATACTAAAAAATACTAGACTATAGCCTGTAAGTGCGAAACGCAAATCAATTTTTTTTAAATAAAGTATATTTTTTAAGTTGAGTATAAGTTTATACTGTATATTATATTGTGAAGTTATCTTAAATGATTACAACCTTCACTGTAATTCGTTACAATAATGAGAAACTTTAACTGAACTCGATTACTGTTGATGTATTTTTGAATTATAAAAATACATATATTTAATTAAAATGAGTAATTTAATTTAATAATTAATAATTTTAAAATGAAACTTATAGTTTAATGGGTACAGTATTTATTTTTGCGCTTTTAGTCTATTGAAAAAATCGACGTTTTGCGTTTTTTCACCGAAATACTATGGATACTTTAAATTTTAACCACTGTTTTGATTACATAACCGTCAAATCGATAAGGTTTGTTCGACATTTTGTTTATTAATTAAAAATTATTTAAAATTGGTTTATAAAATAAATGCATTTCCTTACGCGTACCCACGTTTCATATGTAATTCTATAAGTATACGCACTTACAGAAAAACAGAGAAGTATATACGCTTCACTAAACCACTATAAAAAAAAAAAAAAATAGTTGTAGATATTCATAACAATCACAACATTTTACATTCGGAGTAAATATGATCAGAGCATTATTATATTATCATGACAGATTACCGTGGCAGTAATAACTATTTTTTTTAATATGTAGTATATGCAACTTATATATTATGCAACCAAGTAATAAGCACTTGTCCGAAAAATGATAAGAACTCGAGATATGATAATAGAAAATTATTACGTACCGTTGTTAGCGCAATATGGGCATTGTTTTTTAATCGTGTGACCTACCATAGGTAGTGTTGCATAGAAAATTGAGGGATATTTTCGTTATGAATGTCCGAGAGAGCGAGTGACTACGCTGGCCCCTAATTCCCTTTGAAAATGTTATGTTTGCAATACATTTTGTACTTATCATATTATCCTTATCATTTTTCGGACGACTGCACCCGACTCCAGCGTGGCCACTCGCTCGGACATTTAAAACGAAAATATCCCTCGATTTGCTATGCAACACCACCTAAGCACAGAATTTAAATGATAATGTATGCCACATCCACCTGGGACCGTGTTCAAAACGATTGGATCTGCGCAGGGACAAATCCCAACGTTCCAAGTCCTTATCGCACATGCATCAGGTTATTATATTTTGATAACATAGTTTCTTATCAATGATTTATATACTTATCAGAGTGGTGGAAGCACAGATATATAAAAATATTTTTATATAACTTTGGGTGGAAGTGACTATTATTATTGATCTACATTTGCCGCGCAATATTTTCGGCGCATGCGTGATAAGGACTTGGACCATTGACAATTGGAAATTTGAGATTTGTTCCGAGTTCCGACGC